CTCTCCCGACACGACCTCTAGTAACGCCATGATGATGTATGGACTCCACACATGCTGGCAAAAACCTATAAAAACAACCTAAGAAATATGATTGAACTAGCAGGAACTCCAGGTTGAATGAAGTGGTTTGCAGTACAACCTGTCCATCCAGCAACTCTTCCGTGATGGTTTTTCCTCTCCAAATATAACCCCCCATGGCATGTGCCCTCTGGCTGCTATGGATAAAGGAGATCACTGAAGATAGGAGGTCTTGGGATCATATTGAGTCTTACATGTCACAGGTTTCTAGGACTTCAGGATTTCTAAGGGCCCTTCCAAAGGTTATCTTTCTTGTGTTTTTTTGGTTTTTGTTTTTGTTTGTTTGTTTTTAAGTTTTCTGATAAATTCCCTTTCTAAAAGGATTTTTCTGAAACAAGTTGCCCTGCTTATCTGAAAACAGCAAGTGGGAAAGCCAGCAGTGCTCTGTACGTATAAACAGCTCGCTCTCCTCCCTTTTTGGAGAGCAGACTGGATAATCTTTGGATGACCCAATGGATTTCTTGAGGGAAGCAATGACAAGGATAATAAATATATCCCCATCTCAAGACAGACTTGGGTATTTATTCTAAACAATTGCTACAGCAGCTTCTGGCAGACACCTGGGTATAAGCAGAAAAAATGAGATCTTGGCCCATCTGCAAAGCATCACTGGCTTTAACACTCAAAATTAAGAGGGGGAAAAAAAATCCCTTTGGGTAATGGATTAGTTTATTTTTCTGTATGTTTCCTTTCTTCCCTCCAGTAACGCTAACTGCTTCCAAATGTGGGGCTGCTGGCCACAGTGTGATTCCTTTAGCAAATGCTGACGAAACCCTTTGCTCTGTGCTCTTGCTTCTCCCTGCCCTCCTCATGAAGGGGTTTCACAAGGGTGAGTCCCAGGGTGGGGAAAAAGAGATTGTCACCGATGAAGATCAAACAGTGCCCTCTCCTGTCCCCTCTCACCGCCACCGCTTCTGCCTGGGCAGCGCTGGTCGTGCACCAACGTCGGAGCATCGGAAGATGGGAATGGAAGATACTCCACCCAAGGGTGTGGGCTATGGTGGGGGACACACCACGTGTGATACAGACTTTTGGGGGATAAAGTGCTCCACTTAGAGTGGGCTGGAACAGTACAGCTCCTTCACTTACCTGCACTTTTGCCTGTGTTTTGTGAGAGGGACAACCTGAGGTTTGGTGCCATTGGGAGTGCCGGGAGCATTGCCGAGAGTGGTGGCTGGCGTCAGCTCAGCCCTGGGAGCTGGGGGTGAAGACTTGGGCACTTTTTTCCTGCAGGAAATTGGGTATTTCCATGGCTATTGCATGAAAAATGAGCTCCTATTAAACTGTTCCCTGAAAAGTCTCCCTTGGTCATTTCATGACTCTATTTTTATTTTTTAGTAACAGCCACCAAGAGACCTGAGAAACATGGGAAAGTAAATAAATAAATACAAAGAAAATATCCTAAGAAGGCGCTTTAAATATAAGCCTTCATTTTTCAAGACTGTTCTAAACAGGAAGATGGAAACAGAAATGGATTTGATGGGTGAAGTTATCGTAACATGACAACTAATGTTTAAAAGTCGTATTTCAAGGCTGCGATTCCCAAAGATTACAGCTATGAAATAGAGCTTTCTTGCTAACTGACGGAGTGTTTCCTTCCAGATAGATAAATTTACCTGATATCCGAGGTGAATAAAACCTACTCGTTAATCATATTTTACAAGTAGAGCATGTTAACAAAAAGGCACAGGCGTCATACGTGTAGCTATACAGGATCCTGGGCAGCAGAACACAGACCCTATGCTCATCTTAGGGGTGAGCAGGGCAGTGCGCTTCCACACTCTGCAATTGCCTAAGTAAAATAAACCCACATGTAAGACGAGCCAATTCCTAAACAAAACATAACCGAGAGTGACAATAGTGTGGATGGGAATGGAACAGAAATATCTTTGTTCGGATCAACAGGTCCTAAAGGAATCACACCTAACCTGTTATTTCAGCAGCAGCCAGAAGAAAAGGGCCATACAGCCAACTCAGCAGGTCCTCAGCAAGCTCAGGCTTTTAGGTTGCAGATGGTTCTGAGAGAGAAGGAATAGTCTCTTCCCCTCGCTTTGTACAGATCGTGCTGCTCCCCACGTTGCTCTTCAGTGGAGTGGTGGCCACAAAGTCCATTTCCTTTATTCCCCATGGTTTCCTTGCTTTTTTTGCTCAATGTGGTATCAGATCAGCCCCAGGGAGTAACTGCACCTTACACCAATTCAGATCTGGCAATATTCAGGAGATACGAAGCTACCTGCACTACGCTTTCCTTTGGAGTAAGCTCTTCGGTGTTCGATCTACTTTCTACTCATCTATATCCCTAAGTCCTTAGCGGTCCTTGAAAGGCTCCTCCTGTAGCACTACCTCTCATACTTGTTGGATAAGCGCCATTAAAATTCCAACAGCAATTGCATTGCTATGTCACATGTATATAAAACAAGGTATTTAAAATACATAATCTGATGCAAGAAATAACAAAGGAGAAAGAAAATAAATTGGAAAATCACGTAGATAATTTTGTCTAAGAAACAAAAAACTCAAGACTGCAAACAAATTTTTGTCAGTTCAGTAATTAAAGCAAAGTCCATATGGCTTAAGAGAACAGTCAAAGTGCACAGAAGGCAGTGGGGTTTTTGTTTGCTTTGCATTCCTCTTCACAGTAAGCTCCAAGTCATCCTCTTTGGAGCCTGTTCTCCATCCCACACACATCCTACCCAGGTGCAGAGAGGGGGATGGCTCACAGGGTTTTGGCTCAAGCCCATGACTTTGCATATCCCTTGCCATCTAATGAGCTGTGGATCGTTATCCCAAACTCAAAAGCCCTTAAACACACCCACTGGAGTTTTTTGGTTTTGAACTTTTTCTTTCTGGAGCCTTTGGAGAAGAACAGCAATCCAGTGCCAAAGCTATCCAGAATCTGTATGCACCAAGAGCAACAGCGCTCAGAGGCAGTGCCAAAGAGTAAAATCAGTTCTGAGATCATTTACCCTGTCCAAGAGGCACTGAAAGGTGACAGCAAAGCTGAGCTTGCCCTTGGACCTCAACTGTTTAGGGCAGGTGCCACCAGGTTACTTCTAACCAGCCCCCAAGGGCAGGAACCGGCAGCCACCATAGTCAACACCAGGTTGGTTTCAACAACCTGCCTTGAAGACACCACCACCCAGTGCCAATGCTGTCCCACATCCCTCCAGAGAGGACAGGGACAAGTTGCAGTAGTAACAGTGCCCACACGTGCCCTGACGGCACGTTAGCAAGCAGCAGGATACCAATTTTCCTGGCTGACCTACGTCCACCTGGGAGAAAATGTCAGACGCCGGAGTGGCAAGGACTTGTCTACTTTCAAATTCACCTTTCAAACTCTTGCGGCAAAATGTCTGGTGATCCAGGACTGTTGCTAGGTCCAAGGGCTGGACTTGGATTCTTTAAATCCCTGACAACCTTTCCTTGTGAGCAAACAACTTGCTGCTAAACATGACAGACTCGGGGAAAAAAGAATAGACAGAAAAGAAGAAGAAAAAAAAAAAGGAGCTGTACAAAAGGATGGAAAAGAAACTAAAAATCCCTTCTCTTCTTTCCAAAGGCTATAGCTTCAAGTGCGCAAAGCAGACTGTAAACGTGCACAAGGTAATTCATGACCCTAATGCTTGAAAAACCTGGTTAGCTTTATTTGGAGACACTTTGTTGCTTCTCCCAGATATGAAGCTGAAGAATCAATAAAAGGCACCTGTGGACACCAAAACTCACCCAGTCTGTGTGACGTGTCTTTGTACTAAAAAAATAAAATCAAACAAACCCAGCTACCGTGTACTTTTTTACGGACCAGTAAGCAGCACTGCAGAGTCTGGGCGAGAAAGGATGCTCAACTTCTATTGACAGGGCAGGATAACTTTGATGATCAAAAGCCTCATCAATTAGTAGACTCTCTAGCTTGTCACTGCAATCTTAATTGAAAGATTCCTCTGTCTTGCTGGGTTGTGTCCTTTGATTTTTCAAAAACGACCGATTCCAATGGCACATGCAGTCCACGAAGGAGGATTAGAGCCACACCAAAAATAAACTGACCTTGCATCTGAATTCTTCCCACTTGCTTCCCCCACCGCTGCCTACAGTGCTCTTTTGAGCCATCTCCTCTTCTAAAGGCCCTGGGGTGGGAATATTTAAAGAATGCAGCAGGTCCCATTTGAACAAGAAAGAAAAGCAGGTCAGTAATTCAGTATAAATACACCAGTAGTGAGCCTAGAGCAGACACAGTGACACATCTGAGCCTAAGTTGATCAGCCAGTGCTCCTAATGCGGGGAGCAGCAATGAGGAGAGAGGAGGTGTCTGCTTTTCACGTAAAAATTTGTCATTTTTCTATGTTTTCCTACTTGACCTTGACGACAGGGAAAAATTTAAAAGGGGCAAAAAAACCCCAACCAAACAACCACCAACCAACAGTAGAAAAAGGAAGAAAAAGGAGCCTGGGAGGTTTTATGTTTTCTCTTCAAATCACATCACAAAGTCGCTCATTGCATCTAGGGAATTCACCTCCTTGTTTGGGAATGGGGGGACAGAAGGAGGGGAGAGAAAGAAAGAGGGAAGAGAAGGGCATGGGAGCTGCTTCCTGAAGCAGTGTTACAAAAAGCAGTTAAAAAACCCCTACTATTCACAAGTGGTTAAAATCATCACTTTTCAGAATTCGTTTTTTTTTCTTTTTTTTTTTTAAACAAAGGTTCAGCTAGTTCAGCTCCATATTTTTAGAGTTGATTGTCTTCAGAAAAAAACCAAACCAAACAACCCAGCCCAAAACAACAAAAAACCCAGCCTCATCCATGTTTCCATCCGTTTCTACCCTGATAGAGAAGTTACCCACAGTTCACCGCACTGGTCACACACACACAGTCACTGCGACGGGTCCCCCTGGGTGCCGCCGGCGATTCAGCTCTATCCTCCAGCCCCGTTCTCAGACGAAGGAGGAGAACCCTGTCACTGGAGTCCGGGAGCCGGGCGCAGGCTGTCCCGTTGGGGTGTACACCCCTCCTGAGCTCTGTGTCGTGATGACAGTCTGGAAATAGGGTTCTGTCTCGCTGGCGGCACACTCTTCGTATCTGTAGGATGTTGGGTGCTTCACGCCTTTCTGCTGCCGCTTCCATGAGTTGTAGTACGTGGGGTCGCTCATGTAATGGTTCACAAAGGAGTGCTTTGGCAACTCGTCTTCGTAATCTGAGTCGGTGGCCTGGAGAATCAGGGGGAAAAAAAAAAATCAAAAAAAAAATCAGCCAGTAGCATCTATGATTCAGGCTGTTCCACTCTAAAAGAAATTAAGAGACAAGTTTAATATCAGCAGTTGACAAAAGCTATAATTTTAGGGTAGGATGGTTTGTAATCCGAAGTGTAATACACGCTGGACTGTAGAAAAGCACTGTGCTGTGGTTTAGCCAGGCTTTGCTGCTAGAGGGAGAGTCCCCCGACAAACGCTGGTGATACGACATGCAGAGAAATGCGTTCTAATTCACTGCAGAACGATGCAGCGGGAGCTAGGATTTCCTATTTTGACAGAAGATGCAGGGAGGTGTAGAGATGTCATAAAGAAACCAACAGCTTTCAACCACACAATCAACAAGATCGCGGTTACAATTGCAATTGAGAATATCTCTTCTTCCGATGCAAGGACAGAAAGAAAGCCATCCCTGCGAACCCACTGAAGTTAGCCAGACGTGCCGTTGTTTGGGGTGGTCAGCCCAGGCCACCAGCATAGTCCTCTGGACTTGGTTTGCAAGCCCTGTTAAGTATTGAAAATTAGTTATATCACTGAAAAGGAATTAAGCAAAATCACAGTTTTCTTTTCAGGTAAACAACTCTGTCTGTGTGTTCCAGCTGATTATCGGTGGTACAACAAGGCACACGACCAGCGACAACAGGAGAAAGAGAATGCAAAATCTGGAAAAGACGAACTGCCAGGCAGGAGGGTTTGCTTTCTTGGTATGGCTCAGGCACAGCCCTGTGTTCAGAGCAGATCTTATCCCTTAAACATTTATGCACGGTGGCTGGATAGCTTCAAAGCTCATATCAATATCGAGCGGGAGCTCTACCGAGATGTAACCAGATAAGCTTTGTGCATCTGCCCCTCCTCTGAAGTACTGCTGCTGTGGTACAGCGGGGGGAATCACAGAGGGCTCGTACATCTCCTCTGAGTACAGAGACCACAGCAAAGCCTCGGCCATGGTATCCAAGCACACATTTTCCTTCTGTTCCCACTAATGTTCCCACCAATAACAGCCACGTCTCATACAGCATACAAACATTTACCTAGTCATTTCTATATCTCGTGTCTTCTCTCAAAATCTCTGGTTTGAGCATGCCAAAGCTTCTATTCCTTCGCCCCCCCCCCCATAATCTGCATGGTCGATTCTAAAGGCAATTAAATATCAAAGTAGTAGCTGCCTAAGACGTACAAGTGAAAGACGGCTCGTAACTGTTAGTTGCTGCAATTAGTTTCAAAAGGTTGGTATTGTTCTGATCTATGACACCACACAGCACACGCACATCATTCTTGATCCTGCCTGCCACACAACCAGTGTCTCCTCCTCTAAAACTCCTTTTAAACGGTCTCTGAAGAACAATCCTCAAATGCCTTGTGAACCATCGTTTGAAAAGGGCACTGCATTCATCATCCCACTTCTTTGCTTAGATAGCTGCTTCGATACTATTTCATGCCCATTTTCCAGCATAGAGGGTGATGGACAGAGCTGAGAAATTTTTCCCAGAGTTTTCCAAAAGTCTGAGGAAAGCAGCTCTTTACAGCTTTGCAAAATTTCCCTTCCACTATTACCCGTGCTTTGGCTCTTTCAGAGTTATGTACTGTTTGATTATTTTAAGAATGCAAAGCTTCAGGTGTCTTGACACATAATTAGTATTAAAACAAAACCCTATCAGCATTTAATAATTATTCCAGAAGGAACTCAGCAAGTCCATCTCCTAGAAAAACGCTCTTTTGCACCAGCTGCCAACCTCGGGAAGCCAACACCCGACTCTCCAAAGACCTTCCTCAACGGGTGGTTTTTGTGGCATGCCTGGAATATCCCCCAGATTCGGATCACTTCACAGCCAGTGGGTGCAGAGAACAGCTCCAGCATCTTGGCACTGCTGCAGGGAACACCTTGCCCAGTCTATTTTTGTAAGGGGCTCCAACAAGAGTACCTCTGATGACTGCAGATGTGGCAGCATGGAAGGGCATGGCAGCAGGCAGCAATAGCTCAGGCAGGCTGGTCCTCGGCTGCAGAAGCAACCAACTTCACCTGCAAACCAAAAGATCCTCAAACCCAGGCTTCCTCTGTTCTTATCAAGAACCAAGGTATTGCACTTTGCACCAGCCTACATCTCCAAACATTCTGCTGCAGCTCCATCCACTAATGTTAGGGTAAAAAGTGCCTGAGGGATGATGTGGGCGTCCAAAAGAAAAGTGTCTACACCCTGAGCAGAGGCAGGTGGTTATGGATCCCTCAGCAGAAGCACCTGAAGGTGTGAACTCCTCCAGCTATTACGGGTGTGCTCCCTCCATCAAAGGCACAACGCTACCACTGCTCTTGCCATGTCTTCTGACTCCTTCCCCAATCCACCATCACTCTTACTGACTTGGACACGCTGAGCCACCCCCCAAAGAAACAAGCTCATGCTGAAAAGATGGATCACAGCTGAGTTGAAGTGTCATAAACATAAGGAGAAAAACCCCCACAAACTTCTAAAGGCTCCTTACTGGTCTTTCTGATACCCTCACAGACATACAGAAACATAAAGACAACTAAAAGGCTGGAAGCTTTAAGAAATGTTGAAAAAAAGCTGTATCCAGAAGACTGACGCATGACTGGATAGGTGTAATAATACTGATGCAGCCACTTGATTTCTGTCCATTGCTAGCAGAAAAACACTCACCCACAAAACTAATATGATTTCTGTACCTGAGCCAAGTTCTTTCAAGATTGCCAGAAGTCAACCTAATAAAGAGGAGAAATACTGGGAACGTTTTTAGATGGGCTGCTGCCATTTGAAATACAGTGTTACTTGGACTTGCCATGAACCAAAAGAGGGAACTGAAAACAATACCACCTGCTGATAATTTGTCCACTAATTAGTCCGTTATACCAACTGAGATAGAACACCAATTTGGTGTAGATAAGGCCGGTGCCCTTCAGAAGCGACTTTCATGAAACGTACAGAGCTGCACTAACTGCAGTCTTTCACCATCATTAGCACTGATGCTGGAAAGGATAACCTGCTTGTTAGTGTTGATACAATGCGTTTTTCTTTGTGTTTCCTTCAGAACAGGCAGGAACTGACTATTCCGTCCGTGTTTCGAAAGTATCTTCTAAGGTCTGCTCCAAACAAGGTACTAATAACCACCCTTACCAGCAAGGAATTCTCTAAATTGCCATCCTACATCCTTCTCTGCTCTGATGAAAATCGAGGAGTAGCAAGATAAACCTGTTTTGCATGACAATACAGACAGCTTATACCAGAGGATTACTTTTTAGTGGTTTTTACGCTATTGAGTAAATAGAAATGCTGCAGGGCTTTTTGCTTTGTTTTCGGTTTTTCTCCCTTCTGTGCGACTGTGGCTTTGTTACCTTGGAAACCTCCATAGGCTGGAGTGCGATTGGGTGTGCAGGGACATTACGGACTGTCAAGCAAAGGTGCATGGATGCCTATGAAACAACAAATACAGAAAATGAAAGGCTATTTAAGTATTTTATTGATAGTGTGAAACGCACAAGTCCTGTTCAGAGGCAAGTCAGCAACCAGAGTTGGCTAGCTTTGTCAATGGGAAATGTAAAAATAGTTCCAATTACCATTTTTTTTTTTAAAGTGATGGCATAAGAAACAATCTCATGAGATTATTTCTAAAAATGTAGATGGCAACAGTTTCTTTTGGTTGACGTGAAATGAATATGCTGTAAAAGAGACAAGGTAACTCGCATGCAAAATGATTTCTCCAGACATGGGAATCTTTGCTTATTTAATGTGTCACCTGCAGCTGGTTTCCACATGGTGCCCAATTTGTCAAAATCACCGGAGAACTTTATGGGAAACAAGTTAAACCTATTCCCTATTAAGTGTTAGGTAGAAATTTATAATATCTTCCTACAGAGCTTAGAAAGCAAAAGTCAGTTAGAATGCAGAGAGCAGTTGGGAAGACCAGAGCATCACCAACATTTAGCACTGACTGTTAATGTGCACAACCTGTGAGAATATTATCTCCTGAAAACAGTTCTGGGGAGACCACAAGAACATGTGAGAACAAGCAAACACACACCACCCTCCCCTCCCCTCCTGTAAAACTGCTCTTCCATGGCTGAGCGACATCGCAGATATATCATCAGATTTCTGTACATGGTGAACACCAAATTTCTTTGGATTATCTGCCCAGAGCCTCGTCCGCTTGACTCATTACCTAAAAGCCTATTATTATTAATCATTTAGAAATTACACTCTTAGCACTCTTTTCCTCCATACCTGCCAATTAAACTACTTTAACCTCATTAACAGTACTGGTGCTTGGCTTTCATGACATGGAGTAAGTTAACCACTTGATTTATGAATATTAAGAGTCCTGCTTAGTCTGCTTGATTTTCTTTGTTTCTCTCTTGCTCTCCTCATCAGGAGGGAGCTTGGAGGAAGGCTCCCAGGCAGCTGTGTTGTTAAGCGCAGTCAGTCAGCCCGAGAGTTTCTCCGCAGACTTCTTCATGTTCAGTAAACCCTACGAGACTTGAAGCCGGTGAGCTTCCTTCTTTTCCACATAAAATCTTGACACCTCAGGCAACAGGGGTAAGACTAAGCAGCAGCAAGATGACATGCGGGTTGAAAGCAAAAGCGCAGTTTTCAGCCCTGCCTGCCCTTACGCGCATCGTATTAAGTAGAATTTGAGATCCACGCAAAGATATATTAGAGGAAAACAGCATCAGGACCCCCTTTGCTGCAGAGGGCCAAACATGTGCAGAGCTCTTATATAAAAAGATATCTTTAACTCTTCATATAGTGGGAAACAATTCTGCCTGCTAAGAGAGATGGAAATTCTGAAATTCTCGGAAAACAGAGCTTGTCTTTTAAGATCTCCATTGAGAATAGAAACAAAAAGAACAGAAAAGACAAACAGGAAGAGCTAATAGGTACAGGAATACTTGAAAAGAGAGTGGTCAAACATCTATACCCACGTCTGCCCCAACCCACCCTCACCTCCTGTCTGTACCAGCCCACGTAAACAGCATTTTCAGGCTGATCAAAAGGTAGCAAGCACATTGGTACCTCTACTGGGAACGTATTAACATTTCATGCCTAAAAGCACTCCCCACCACAAAAAAAAAAACCCCAAGCATCAAAGACATTATACAGAAGGGCTGCATATCTAAGCCCCAAGGAAAAACACGAGGCATATTTTGTTCGCATACTCATATGCACACACGGATTCACAAAAACACTAGAATCTCAATTGAGACCTTCAGGCTCGACTGCAATACAGAGTAAATAAATAATATTAATAATAGCCTGAGAAAAAAACCAAAATCACTTTCTTCTATGCTGTACAAACAGTGCATATAGAAGTCAGTAATGACACCCTGCAAGCAGACTTTTGCGCTTTACCAGGAAATACCACATGGGGCATTGAAATTAATGTCAAAAGGTGCCAGCGCTAAATTCATGATCATGCTCAGCAAACTGTTTTAATGACAGGTTTAATGCTGGGTTGTTACAGTGACATGACCAAAGCACTATGGGTTTAATCTGGAGGGTGATGCTTGTGCATTGCATAGACAGCAGCTTGAGCTGCACCAAGGAAAGCTGCCTGCACGACGGGTCGGCCACAGGGCAGCACAAAGCAGCAGGCTGTCCGTGGTAATTAGCAGGAGGTGAGAGCTAGGTAGCCAGGAAAAGCAGCTGTAGCTGCAGGTGCAGAAAAGCTACAGATGAAAACTGTCATCTTCTTTCACTACTTGCTGCTCTTGATTTATTCTTGCTAGAAGGGTCAGGGTTGGAGTGGTTTGGCCCACTGCTCGCTTCTTGCACTGTCAGTTCAGATTCGTCAGGATCTCAGCTGACAACAGATGATTTTAGAGACACATTTACCTTTCTGGATATCCCTCGAAGTCTGTCTGTTCACCCCTGGCCACTGCTGGATTTTTTACAGAGCGCAAGCACTTACTTTCTTCTTCAAGGGGATATAAGATACAAGATGGAGCACTGCCAGATGGATAATGCCAGTATACACCCACCTTCCTTGGAGAACCGAGTCTAAAGCCAACCTGAGCAGAAGGCTCCTCTTGAGTTAGGCTGGGAACCTGAATGCTGGGCTCTCACAGCCATGGCCATGTGCTCCCTCCCTGGCAGGTGACTCATTCCCCACTTACTCCCTCTGTAACAGAGGCAGCAGTTATCCCCACTCAAGACCACTCTTCCGAATCTTGGTGTTTGCTGTAGCTGTCTAAAAAAGGCACTGTGAAAACTTCAAACCACATCCCATACTTCGGTCAGTGCACAATCAGTGCAAGGTCTTCACACTGCATCCCATACTTCAGTCAGTGCAAGGAGTGTCCCACTTGCAACCTCATCCAGACAGTAGCTGCAGCCAGCTGGTAATAACCATATATATTTGCAGCATATATACATTTTCCCAAAAGTGCTCCCAGTTTGCAGCCCACAGGCAGAAGGGGATGTGCAGCCCCTTCCAGAGAGATCAGCAGACACTGGCTGACTGATTGCACTTGTCTTTCTATATAACACTGGAAAACTGTGAATATCTGCCAAGACCAGGTCTGGAATCTGCCCTGGCTGCGTCTTGCTTGTCATTCTTTCCTTTGACATTTTAATTTTAAGATGTGATGCGAATGGCCTGGTGAATTGGACGTTTTAAAGCCCCCAAGACAGACAAACAGTGACAACACAGTATAATGCAGGTATGGGATTGGGACTTGAAAGACTTGCCAGGATTCAGTGGGGAAATGAATGTCTGCAGTGATCAGGCAACATTTGGCACGGCAAAGGGAAACCCTTACCTCTGACTCTGACACTTCTAAGGGCTTCTCGTTCAGGCCCAAGCCCTCGGTCAGCACAGCTCCGTTGTACTTGTTGCAGATATCCTCATCAGAGTAGTGCAGCCCCCCTGGGCTTGGGCGAGGAGGAGACCTAGGAAACGTAAAGGGTGAGTGTATGGGATGCTTAATTAAATGAGGCTTAGAAGTCAGAATCACAGCCTGGGGCAGTGACTTGGCATTAAAGTCCCTAGATCCTCCGGACAACAGTCCCTCCCCTTTGCCTATTTAACAGTTGCTTGAAGCTAGATAAAAAGCCATTTCCAAGAGTGTGTTGTTCCCAGCTTCTTACCTGGTTCCATTTTTCTTTGAGAACGTGCTCTTGATGTTCAGGTGTCTGCTGTTGAGCTCCAGAGCAGTGAAACCTCCATTATCCAGAGTGACTGATTCTTCCACATTGGAGATGGTTTTGCCTGGCATTGAAAGGTTCAGCTGAAACAAAGGCACTTTTCCCCCAAATACAACTGTAGGAGCTAACTTTTCCTTCTTTGTGTTTTATAACATCAACAATTATTTGAAAATCTCTTTACCTTTCCTACTGGCAAATGAGAATGATTAGAGTGGAGAAGAAGAGCTTATCGGGAGTGTGAACGGGCAGAAGGAGCCAAAAGAGGAGAAAGAAGGAGTCATGGATGGATGCATTTCATTCGGAGGTTAAGTGTCTAAAATTGCACGGATGAACTGTGCTCCAAAAGTGCTTATTCTTGTCTTTTGACTATAAATAGAAATCAGGTGGCTAATTCAGGTGGCCACTGAAGATGCCCTAGATCAGGTGCTGTGAATCCCATTCATGCTGACTGAAGCAAAGCAAGAGAAAGTAAAACTAGGAAAGGCAGAAAAAGAGGAAAAGGAGGGGAAAAAAAAGGTAGGAAAGAAAGCAAGAGAAAGAGTAAGTGGATAGCAAATGCGAAAAAGATGTCCGAGCTGTAATGAGGATAAGATATAGATGTGAGAAATCACTGGACAATGAAAGGCAGGGAAAAGGACAGGGGACTGGTAGAAGGGGGAAAACATAGCAAAATATATTATTTCTTGTGATCAAATATAGCAAGAGCTTATTCTCTCCCATGCTCATTCTTTGTAATCCCAAAGGTGTGAGCTCAGCTCATGTCCCGGGGAGAAGGACCAGTTGCATATTGCCACTTTGCAGCAGACAGTTACTTTATCCTTGGCTTCAATTTCAGTGCTACATTAAGACTCAGTGTGAACACTGATATTTGACAGTACAGGTCAAACCTGTCTTTTCATGTCTGTCCCCCAAACACAGAGCAAAATAAGAAGATGAGAGATTTCCTATGAGCTAAGCATACAAATATGTAATAGTATTAACTTGGTAAAATGCCACAATATTCATACGTCCTATATCTCCTGGGACTGAAACCTAATTTTCTAACATTTGTTAGAAGTGAATTATAAAGAAAGAAAAGATCTTCACTTTGGGACTGAATTATTAAATATTGCCTGGAAGACTCCTTCCTCACATTAATCCCTAAGAATGGGCAGTGCAAAGACCCATCCACCTGGTCCTACTCATTAATGTGCCTTTTTTGGCACCGCCTGGCATCACAGCAATTTCTTGCTGGAGGTGGAGGATACCGTCAGAGAAATACACATATGAACAACTCTTCTAGGACTTTATCCTGGAAGGAGAAGAAAAGGTAAAAAAAATATTCAGAGCTCAAGAACCAGGCATTTTGAAAGGGGGCTATTTTAACATTCCTAGTTACAGAGCAGGTAGCTCCTGTTTCCTTTCAGAAAGGAGACTGGTAAAAACTGTAACTAAAGGAAAATTCAAAGCTTGAAACTCATTATATGTTAAAGTCCAACAGGTCTAGGTAACCAAGACACCTCTCAGCTGCTTGGCCCCCAGCCCGGCAACTGCAGCTTGCCTTAGGGAATGAATGTGAGATGCAGGGCACTCTATTTAGTATAAAGGAGTTGTGATATAGTCCTCACACATATAGACCTAGAATATCTGCATTGGGTACAGCCATGGAAAAGCAGAATCTTTCTCCTTCTCCCCATCTATCAGGCAATGATGACAAAGCTAAATGAAGTCTCAGCTCATTCTTTTTTGTGGTTTTCTGCCAAGCGTTTGACCCAGACTCCTTGGCTTTTGCTACAGTCCCCCATGGACTTCCACATGCTGTCCTTCCCAAGCCCATGGCTGATTAGCATCCAAAACCTGATAAGATCAGGCACTCTTTGCCCAGTGTGGCTATGGGCAAAAACCCATATCAGACGGCAAAAAGATCTGAGTCTTCTGCCAAACAAAATACCTATAAAGAGAGTCCACACTGATGAAACCAGGGTTTCAAAAGGAAGACATTTCTAATTCCTACAGCTCTCGAGAGTGTGTGTGCAGCACGGCTCTGATGTCTTACCTGTGCTGCAGTTCTTGTACTTCTTGCTCTGGCCATGCAGGACCAATGCAAACACCACCAGGAGGATGAGGATCAGACTTGAGAGAGCCATCACCAGTAGAAACCACCACTCCTCATAGAAAGGGGCTTCTGTTTGTGCTGAAAGAGCAAAAAACAAATAACAATTCCTCTTTATGGTCCTCCAAAATTTTCTCTTCTTCCCCACAGTGAACGATGCATCTATAACAGTGTACAGGAGAGAGAGGTGTTCAAAGGAGGTAACATAGTCTACTCTGCAGTCAGACTTTCAAGGGGCTTGCTGACACTTCCAAGATGGCAAAGAGAACAGGACCATATCACGGCTCCAACATCTTTGCAAGCATCTTTCACGCACCCACAGCAGCGCTCCAGAATCCCTTAGCCAAGAACAAGTTATCACCGAGTGAACGGATGGAGGTTTCTTCCCACAGCTCCGCACATCTACATTTCTTGAGTCCTGCGGTATGCTTAGTACTCTCTGGGTCAAAGGAACCACTAATATATCTGTCATGACCCACAATTATTCCACTTTTTAAGAGGCTTCCCTCGCCAAAATGCTGCTCAGTGGCTCTTTGAAAAATACAGCTAGTACCAGGGAACAAAGTACACTTGGTTCAGGGTCTTTCAGTATCTCCATTAACTCCAACTTCCAACATTCACTGCTACTCTATATCATTTCCCCATCAGCTTAGCCAAGCCTGATGTGCAGCACATGGGTATCAATCCAGTTGCCTGGATTTTGTGCAATCTCAAGTCATTTCACCCCATTTGACCTCAATTGGAGACGCAAAATGATACTAACTTCTGCTTTCTAGAGTTATCTTGCCAGACTTGGGTTAAAGCAATAAGTATTGTTATTTTCTTGCGGATACAGTCTCTTTGTCAGCATTCCTCAGCTTTGTGAAAAAAATGCTGCCACTGGAGCACAAGCCAGCAGTTGTATATAATTTCCCTGTAGTCCATAAGGTAGAAGAACATCTGGTAGGAACGGGTGATGCCAGACCAACTTCCACCCCTCGCTGTCCCTGAACCCAGGCACTCTCTTTCCCCGACTGTCCTGAGCCCTGGATCTAAAGACAAGTCTGTTGTAAGCCTGATGATATGAGCTCAAATTTGTTCCAGATCACTGGGTACTCTGCAACAGTGAAAAGCAGCCACGATTTTTCTTTGCTAGGAGGCCAGACCAGGCCAATAAAGTCCTAAAGGCAAACTGCACAAGCTATGCTGGGCTGAGCAGACTCAGTGGAATTTATACCTCCCTGTGCTAGCTGAAGTGGCCGGCCTAAAATGCTTTATACTTTTACGACTGTGAATCTCAACGGAAACCTCTTACTTTCATGCAGCAATTTGAGATGAACACTGAAGCAGCAAAAGCAGGTGAATTAAATAGTTCCGTTCAAGTGGAGAACTTACAAACAAGCGGTTTATTTATAAAAAGCATCACAAGGAGATGCATGCCCAGCTTCAGAGGAATAATGTCTTCCAGGAAAGGAAAGACTGACATGACTACTGACCCTTTACATTGTGTTATAGCCTCTGTGAAACCACAGATAGGAAAAACACTGACTCTTGGTGTTTGAAGTGGGTTGTCCATGTCCTTGTCCTGAAGGAGAGAAGCAAGGGTAGCACTCACACGGAAATCCACAGACAGCTCTCACAGGGTAAGTGGTTAATTGTGTAAGGACAAACGCAGCCGTGATGGCGATAGCAGCATTTATGGCTCTTGCCTGCTGGGTAACTGTTGAATGGTGTTTATGCTTTTCACTGGAAGACCAAAGAGATAAAAGCCACTCCAGATACTGGAGCATTGCCAGGTTCTCAGGACTCTCCAGAATTTTGAATTACAAAGCCACTTTATCGGCTTCTTTTATTTCTCCGGTCGGCCTTTGCTGACACAGCAAGGATGAAACGTATTGCTCAAAAGCAACCTGGAGTACAGCTGTCTCTGCAAGGGTAAGAGGAGACCTGAGCAAAGCTTCCACAAGGGCAAGCTCTCCCGCTTCATAACAGGCCATTGAACTCAAGCTGCCCACACGTAGCATTTGCTTTCCGAGGTATTAATATTCCTTCAGAAAATGAGAGTGCTGGGCTGCTCAAAGGGATTTTGGAAGCATTTTTAGACCATAGCCCTGTTTACTGGCAATAACCACAAGAGAGCAGGGAGGGTGGGAAGAGCCCGAGAGCATCACCAACGAGCTGTTCTGATGAAGGGGGACGGGAGGCATCACATCGTAGTGGGACTGCCAGCGCAGAGGATATCGGGAATAATTTTGTGAAACTACTTTTATATTTTTGAGAACTAAATACAAAATAACATAGCAAATGTTTATCAGAGAACCCTGGGGAAGAAAGAAGGAAGCACAGTAAACAAAACAGCAGACTAGGAAAGGAGAAAAAAAAAATTGTAGACTGTGTAAATTAGTCTTAGGGCAAGAGATCTTACATATAAACACTCATGAAATTCCCGAGAAGGTTCTTTGTCAAACTTAAAAATGGCACACACACATATTTCCTCTTGAGAGTAAAGCATACTGTAATAACAAGCCTTGATTCACTGCTATACTACTCTGGTTTTATCCTAAAACAAGTGAAAACTAGCTGCCCTTGATTATTTTTTGCAACTAGAGAATCTGGGTTTGGTTTTTTTCCCTTCTTTCCCCTCCCCCAACTCCAAGAGATCCCATTGGAAAAGATATTTTAAAAAATCCGTGCTTACCTGATACTGCCACAGAGGGAACACTTGGTTCTCCGTAGCCAAACTCATTGACAGCCACCACCCGAAATTCATAGGTCACACCCTGTTTGAGTTTGTCCAGGCCAACCGTGTAGGAGGTAGCACTGCGAGGGATGTCCTTCACAAACATATCCCACAGTCCTTCATCTAGGAAAGCAGCAAGGAGAGAAATGGCATGAACTGTGTGACTTGGCACTTCCTTCTGCTCATTGACAAAAATTGTCATTAATTGTGTGCTTCAACCGCAGGCAGTGGACATGCTTACCCGAAGGCTGCTCAGTGATACACACAAATGTCAGAATGCCCTGCAAGACCCCATCTGTAAAGGCATTTATTTGTGATAGGGGTCTCATAATAGCCCAGATGGAAGAAGTCCCCTCTAAAATCCGCAGCGGCACCCACAGGGACCTGAGCTGGCTAGAGCAGTTGCCAGCCATCTGGGTCCCCCTGATCAGGTAAAGTCACCACATCAGCATGCCTGTTATTTGACAGAGCAAACTGTCCTGGTTTGGTGAAAACAGGACTCAAGTAAGCCCAAAGCAACCCGCTACATTAACGAGTCCTAATCGCACAGGTTTTGCCTGCTTTTTACATTGCAAAACTGACTTCAGGATCGAAGTGCGTAGGCTAGGCTTTGCAAACTAATGTAAGATTTGGGTCTTGGTGGGAAGTACTGTGGCCTTGCATGAACTGGTGCCTGGTGGACTGGTGTGACTGGAGTGCTGCTTGCTTCCCAGTATCAATCGTGATATGTCCTTCGCATGTGCTGGCCCGCAGTGTGGCACAGCCCGCAGAGCGAGACAGCCAGCACTGCACTTCTGTGCCATGCATTTTTACACAGGAATGAGTTTTTGTTTGGATTATAAACCTCTCGAAGTTGTTAGAAACACCATGCCATGCTGATGAGAGCATTTCAGTAGGGTAATCTTGGTTCTCAACAGCCATGCTGACATCGATCCTGATGCACATCCTGACCAGGCACCATTCCGGTCCCTGATCCATACCTGTAATCTTATATTCACTCGACTACAATGGAAAGAACTTTCAACAAGATGGATGCTGTTACCAGTAAGAACAAACCCAGCTATAATCAAAAACGTCAGTCAATAATTTTGAGTGCAGGAATCAAACATTAATCTAAACGGACTGCTTTTCAGTAACAATCGGTGCCCAGCACTTTAGCTGACAAAATGGAGTTACTGTCTACGCACGGGGCCAAACTCCCAGCTAGCCTAAGCCAGCGTAGCTCTTGTAGCCCTGACCTCACAAGTATCCCATTGGGCTTTTACTTTTAGTTATCAAAGCTGTGCGAGCACTGTCTATTTTTCTCTGCATGCCCCACAGCAATGGGAATACGATGATAACCTCTGCATAGATATGACTCCAGCGCAGGAGCTGCCTGCTTTGAAAGAAAGTCCTGTGCACTGCGAGATTCGAGCATCAGCATGACTTCTGTAGCTTGAAGTGTTATCAAGGTAACAATAAAGCGGGAGCCAGCAGCGCTACCCTCAGCGACTTGTTCCGCTGCTGCAATGTAAGGCAGGAATCTGTTCTCATTTGCTTTGCGTTTACCTGAGTGTAAACTAATTGGAGTCACCACAGCGATTCCAGAATTGTGCTGGTGTAAGAGAGAAAATTTGGCCCTTAGCCTACTTCTGTGCAACAGGGAATAGCAGCAAAGATGGATTGATTAACACTGCAGGTGCATTTCCATGTGAATGTTTTAACTTTGGCATCAGTAAATATTGGCTCAGTAATTTGCACCGTGCTGCACGTCTAGCGACACACACAATGACTAACAGCCCCCAAACTACATCTTTTCAGATCATGAGGACTGGCAGTCTCGGTGGATGCAAAAAGCAGGCTGAAATGTTATTGTTCCAGCTACATTTGAGAAATACCAAAGAACAATAAAAAGAGGTAATTTTTCTGTCATGCTTAAAATGCAGACCGATACATTATTCACCAGCATGATCAGAGTATAATGAAGTTATCATAATGTACCATTGTTACATATTACTTGGATATTACAATAGCTATAAAACAAGGGATAAAATATTGACTCCCCTTTTACAGGGCAATAGAAGGCTAGATTATTTCTACCGCGTAAACTTACAATGTAATAAAAAAGGAGCTTGGGATTTAGTTTCTCTGAAGAGGGTGGAGTGAGGGATGCATTTTCAAAGTTAGATTGTTGCAACCACCAATACTAGGAAGACGCATCTCAGACTATAAAATATTGCCGTAATTGCTAGAATTGCCTGAGCTTTCATAAACACATTTGTAAACAGCAATAAGAGAATTTGAGCCCATTGTGAATTGTCTGAAAAGCAATTTGTTCACGCTGAAAGCCACTTAAATGGGGGAAGAAAAGGCAACAATAAAAATGAATGTTCAACTCTCTTTGCAACAAACACAACTGTTCACACACACACTTTCTCACTCATTTTCTCAAACCTATCAGGGTGCGCAGTGCAGAATATCCAACAGAGCAAGAAGTGTAAATTTAACCACTCTGTAAAGCTTGCAGTAGGTTGAGAAAACTACCCACGAGAAGTCAACGTTGCATTTCCAGCGCCCTGTCCCCTTGGCTGCAGTGGCGATGGTGTGGGGCAGCAAACGCTGGTGGATGTTTCGTCAGAGGGATTCCTCTCTCACAGGGACTCAGAGATGCTCCAGCTGGTGGCCATATCTTCTCTAGCCCACCCCCCTTTCATTTATTGACAGAATCTTTGCCTGAACTCTTTATTTCTGGGGTAGGAAAGAGGACCTGGCCAAGATGAGACCCAGCGTGTGATCCCTGGGATCCCAGAGAGGTGTTGATGCAGCTACCGTGGTCAAAAGCCTGCACGACGGCAGCCTGGAAAGGGGGACATCCTTACGTCTACCCCCACTGCTGACCCCAGTGCAATGCACAGGATAATCTGTGGCTTCCCAAGACCTGGTCAACAAGTTTTTTAATTCCAGAGCCTCAACTAATTTATCTTATCTCCATCTGGAATATTCAGGCCCCTCTTTGTAGACAGAGATTGCACTCAGATATATCCAAACTAAAAAAGCATTTTATTTCAGTGGTGAACTTTGAGGTTAAATATTGAACACACACTTGTGAATTCATTCACTGCATCTCTTCCCCATCCCTCAAAACGAGGTTTGCTCTAAATGTTAGAAGTTCAACTGAAAGAGAATTCATTAGAAGGTCACTTGTGATAGCAAAGATTGGCCTTTAAGTTCAGTAGAAAATCATTAGTACGCTGTACAGAGTATCTTCCGTTCAGTTTACGGAGGAAAGATACACACATGCCATGGTTGGGATGTCAACTGGATATTAGCTCGTAGAAACCATTGAGAAAAGCAAAGTTTGCAACACCAGACTCCCGCAAAGAGGGACAAGGCTCAGCCAGCCCCAATGACCTGAGAGAGGCAGCACAGCTGGCAGCGGGGATGCACTTGCACTGCTCGCAAATGTTTTTCCTTTAATAACATCTGTCCCTTTCTTCATTTCACGTTGCCTTTCACTGGGCACTCGGCCTCTTTAAAAAGGCCTAAATGTGTGATAGAAAAGGGAGGGCTCCTCAAAAAAATAAATTTTTCTTTGTTTCTTCTTTCTATCAATGCTTCACCAGACCCTGCCCTCATCCTTATTTCCTGCTGTTGTGAGATTTGATCTTTATCTCCCAGCCTTGACTCCTCCATCCAATTTGGGAGTGAGCCATGCGCACAGGGAGAAGATGTAAATGACAGGGGAAGGTGAAACCACCTCCAACCTAACACGATGTCCAGCCTGCCCCGGCCACCCTCCCAGCCAGGCACCAGCCATCCTGCATTGGTGAGGAGCAAGCACCGCAGGCTGCAGCCGTGCACAGCACCCACCGGCCAGCCTGGCTTCATAGGCAATTAATCAGGGTCTCCACGCTGAATAAAACTGTCAGTCGGTAATGAAGGCTCCGGCTCTGCTAACTCAGGCCACTAACAAGCAACTGCCAACGCTGCGGCTGGGGAGATGGAAAGCTGTCAGTTATTCAGGTCTTAAACACCAGCCTTTCCCTCTTGGAGTAAGAGGAAAGCCGTGCCGTAAAACTGTCTCCTAATTACACATTAGGAGGTTTATGAGGGGAGAAGCAGCTGAGAGTTAAGGACCGGCTGAACGCAGGTAGTGTTCCTCCCACAGAGGACAAAATTAAAATGTGGATGTATGTGTCAGAGGCAAAGGGCTGGATTATCATGCAAACTAGTGAAAGGACAAAAATGGGAAGTGAAGGCTGACAAACTGTCAGCCTCGACATGTCGTTCGTAAGGAGAAGTGAACCAAAGGCCCCATGGCAGATGCCGGCAATGCAGCTGCACCCTTCACTTTGAATTTACTGACTTTTGCTGGTTTGTGTCCACGTTTGACACTGCACTCCCTTATTTGTTTAAAAATAAATAGAAAAGGAAGAAAACATAAAAACATTACTCAAGACACCAGAATGGAAACTAAAGTGAGATCTGCCCTCGGGGTATGGCAAGAGAAAACCAGCATTTACGGGAAGGACAATCCCCACTCCAAGTAGATGGGTTCTTCCCCAAAACGTCTGCTGCCTGCACGGAACTGATCATCTCGGAGAGCAAAAGAAAACACTTTCCTGACTTGTCTGTGTCCTAAACTCATGATTTGTGTCCGATCCGAGGTCTACTGGCCTGTTCATGCCAGCCAGGCTCCTAGAAATACTATTACTGGAAACATGTTAAGATGCAATTCTCTCCCACTGGAGTTAAGTCACCCCCTGCTTGGGAAAAGCAAACGAAATCCAAAATGCGTGATGGGGAGAGGAAGCAGAAGAGGAAATCTCTATCGGCTTGTCCCGGCTCGAAGGCTTTTCCTAATGTGACACAAGGTGTGAAGCAGATCGACCGAACACCTACACGGCTGCCCTGCAGCCAAAGAGGAGGGCAGCAGGCCAGTACATGCCCGAAGGTCTCGTGCTGGCAGTTATGTACCCACGTGCACTCCTGGCAGCGTGGATCCCTTGGGTGTGATGCAGAAACAGCTCCTTTGTAGACAGGGGGTAATCGGGAAGGCAAGTCTGTGTGAGACTGCTTGGTGCTTTACAGGCCACACGCCCACCGTTAAAGCGCAGTATAGAGAGAGGAGCTTTGGATGTGGCATGGGGTTGGGAAAAGAGGGGTGAAACCAACTTCTTTGCTCCTACTGGCAGCACTGGGAACCTTAACATCATTGTGTCATTTCTGCCTTTTCCTCTGTACGTAAAAACTGAGGACACGATCTAATACCCATTCCTTAGCCAACCTAGTTGATGTCTAGGGAGTGCTTAGGATGGCAGTGACAGAGGCTGCTTAACTGCATTTCTTGTAATGCACAAGGAGCTAAACTGGAATCCATTTCTCTGGGGACAGAGAAGTTGAAGGAAAAGAAAAACTCTTTTGTTTCTGTAATGTCTTCCTCTAGCACAGATCACTCTGGAAAAAATATTTGTTCGCCTGCTCCATCCCTGTGCCTGAGTGTATTCAAAATGCAGAGGAGGTAGTCAGCCTGGTCACCTTCCATAAATCCGGGAGAGAAACGGCGAGATCAAATGAACAATCTCAGCTGTCTGCTGCCACCATTGCTAAACCCAGCAGGGCAGCTGGAGCCCTGGGAGACGCAGCAGGACACCAAAAAATTCAAAGGGAAGTGACAAAAGAGGGTAAGGTTTGCCATTTCTGACAGAAAGCAACCCTCCTACTCTGATGGAAGAGTCTTGGCAGGGAGCTACAGCAGGGAAAATGAGATGATACAGCATTTAACGTTTGGGGTAATGAGGCCTATAATAGATGACACTTGAGATGTGAAACACTAAGGTAGTGGTATTGCATTTAAATATTGGCAACAAGCTAAAGCTTTTCATCTGTCTGTTCAATGCCCCTTTTTTGATCTCAGAAGGATGAATATCTTTTCCTTCCTTGATTTTTTGTGAAGGGCACAAGTCAACTGCTCTCCTCTTTGACAACAACTCCTTAAAAACAAAGGTTGCTCCAATCCATGCTCTACTACCCATATAAATCAACATGCAGAAGCAAATTCTTAGAACGATATTAAAACAGAAGCTGCTCTGAATGACCAGCCCTGACAGGAGGAATTAGTTCCCTGCTTTTGTTAAGCTCACAATTCAAATTTCAGACTCCTCCATGCAGAGATGAGGAAGAAAAGCGGCACAGAAAGGAAGCCGACGCTTGGATGAAGTAAGCAAACGTTCCAATTAGTCTGTCTCCTCTCCTGGATCACATTTCACGCTTCCTACAGCTGCAACCAGAACGAAGGATGAGAATCCAGCATACAAATGCCTAGTTAATTTGCTACAGCAGCATGAATAGGATTAAAATAATCTGAAGAGGAATTAAATGCCTCAACAGTCAGGTTGCAAGAGCAGGAGAATAAGACCTCTTCAGTGTGTTTCCAGGATCAGTGGAGTGGGGCCAGCAGAAGTGACCCAGGGTTAATGCAGCTCAGACCTGCCTTGGAGGAACTATTTCCTTCCTACTCAAAAAGAGTGGCCGACAAATCCTGCATCCTTAGCCATAAAATGTAAAATGTTCATTCACACCCAACGGTGAGACAAGCCCAAGAACATCGGATGAGTTTGCAATGTCACCACTTACATGAGTTGAATTTCCAGCTTGCGGACAATCTGTACATGGGCTGCAGGTTTCCCTCTCAAATACTCTTACTCAAAAAACTCTGTTCGGGGAAATGTAAGCTGGTAATCACACTTCAATGAACAGTTTTGGTTTAACTTGCTGTCTAAACAATGCTGTTCAAATAAGACAGAGTACTTCCTACACATGAAGAAGTATGGGCAGAAGTCAAGAAGCTGATGTAAGGGAAATAGAAGCACAGCGGTGTCACGCCTCTAATTAAAAAAAAATATCTTGATCACTCTGGGAAACTCCAGTGCCTTGAGAAGGTACACATTTTCCTTGACACTGTTTTGAAAACAATTGTCAAGTTAAATGACAGAAAAAAGGAAGAAATTTTAGGGTCAGAGCAGAGCCCCACTATCAGAGGCAGGTACAGAAATCTGCATCTTCAGTGATGACCACAGAAATGCAGGCAATAATTTTGCCACTGGTCTGGTTAAACGTAATTAAAATCATTGGTTTTAAATGCAACCTTACATTCTAGACACATACAAGAAATAGGATCCTTTATATAATCAAACAGATAAGCATTCATTTAATCAATATATAATCAAGCAACGTGCAAGCACCTAGGAGTAAAAAAGGAAAGAACAAGCAGCCAACATGGATATGTCAAGTATAAATCATGTCTAATTTCCTTCTGTGACAGGGTAGCAGACCTTGTCAATAGAGGAGAAAGAGCAGACATCATCTATCCTGACTTCAGCAAAGCTTTTGACATCATGACATTCAAACACGGCCTACGTGAAACAAGTATCTGGTAGATGCATCACTAGCTGGAAAACTGTACTCGGCGAACAGTTATCAACATTCACTGTCAGAGTGGAGGGAAATTATCAAGTGAGATTACACATGGGTCTGGCAGCATTCACTGGTTTTTCTTAATGACTTGATTACCAGAAAGTGTGCGCTTATTGAATTTGCAAGGGGTACCAAGCTGGGAGAGGCTGTGAACAGGCTGGAGCATATGCCTGCTTTTAAAATGACCTTGTCCAACTGCAGAAATATTCTGGAAAAAGCAGAAAGCAGCTTCAGTAAGATGCAAATCCCAGAAGGAAAGGAGCTCTGGGAAAGCACCAAGAAAAACTGTGGTGATGAGGGGATTCCTTTTCGCCCTGCTAATGCCCTCCCTGCAGAACTTTTTTTTTGTTTGTGGTGCTAAAGTCCTGGCCCCATTATTCACAGTAAAACAGTAATTAGTTGCTGTGTTCTGCTGCAGGAGAGGACAGATCTCTATCTGTGGTCCTTAAAATACAGCTTGCAAGTACTTATTAGTCCTGGTGCATGAAAGATGTAGTAAGCATTTAAGTGAGTTTTAATTATTAACAATATTAGCTCATCAGTTGGATGATTTACCAGTGATGTAACACACTGAAAGCCAGAGCACTCAGGGTAATTTTCTGTGACTATTCCTAAACAGGAGAAAATCTGCTAAACCACATAATAAACCAGCAACAGTTTAATACTGGCTGCCGATAGCACTCTCTCACAAAATCCCGTTGCCTTACTGGAACGACAAACAACCTTTCCACTGGGCGATGGCTTTCAGCATGGACAGAAGGAAGGGAAATCATGACATCAAGCTGTCTGTGTTTCCCGTGGCTTACCTGAGGGTCGTGCCTCTATAATGTAGCCAGTTGTGGGTTTTTCTCCAGAATCTCCCTCAGTCCATTGTAGCGTCAGCCCAGAAGCAGATTTTGTCACCAGAATTTCCTGAGGGGAGCCGGGAGACCCTGAAGGATGAAACGAGAATAGCAAATGGTGGTGGTATCACAGACAGACTGCAGTATTCTTCGTTTCTTCTGCTGATATAGGGGAAAAAAGTTATCTAGAAGTATTGGTCAACATAAGGGCAACACAAACCAGCTCAGGGGGCTATTGACCTAAATTTTTCACTAGTTCTAGTACCAGCATATCAATGGCTGGGTTTTACAGGTACCTGTGTTAAGAAGGAAAGAGAAAAAACACTCTCATTTTAACCACTCGCACATCTGCAGCGTTTGCACATTGCCACTGTTATTTCTGACTTCAGAGGTGAAACCAGCCTCTGAGTTTCAGGGAGAGGTTCGTGGGGACAGCTGCCTGCCCATTCGCTTCAGAAGATGCCGGAGCCACGTTAGAGAGGAATCCTGCTTTATGCTGTCTGTGGTGAGACATGAGAGTTAATCTGTGGATCCGCAGTGCTGCTGTCCCAGATAACAGCTACAGAAAGTACCATGATAAAATGAAAGCTTGCTGGCACCCAGAAGGGTGGAATTGCCAGATGTGGCCCTGATGGAGGGAGAAAATATTTCCCTGAGCTGGAAAAGAAGCAAAAATCAGAAATGTGACCATTGCATTGATGTTCTGTGATTTATTGGACAGGCTCATATCATTGGAGGGCATTTACCTTGTTAGATTATCTGTTTATCAAAATCACTGATCAAATAAGAAAACAAACTCTTTTGGTATACACATTGAACCAAGCTGGTGTTCAGCCTGTAGTTCCTCCTGATATATCAGGAAATTTGCATAAGCCAAAGTGTCAGGAGAGAATAATTGTAAATTCTTTCTGGCTTTACATCCAGGAACCTCTGCTGGTTTCGGCAGAGTTATTCTGGTTCTGACTCCACTGCACAGCAGAATTATGCATCGTGCTCTCAGGCTGCAGCTCTGAAATCCCTGGCTAGCCCATCTGTGTTATGATTTGTTCACGTTTTTGTTTATTCACATCAGACTTCTAGATTTCAGGAAAAAAGGAAATATGTTCTTCATGGGCAGTTGTGAAACCCACTGAATCATGTCCTGAGCTCCTGTGGCTCAGCTTCTCCTTGGCTTGGAAATCCACGTGAAGCCCCGAGTGCACTATTCCCCGCTGTTGGACCATGTTTGTATAACTGATCTGGCTTGAGACATGCTTTCATGGTTCCACTTACCTTCTGCTGGCCCAGCTGTGACGTTGGCTTGCAGTTCAGGTCCATAGGCGATGGTTCGGGCTTGCACTCTGAATAAATAGGTCATGCCCTTGGTGAGATCTCGGACCTTCAGCCAGCGTTGCCAGTTCCCTTTAATGTCGACGGTCACCACCTTACTCACCCCTGGAACAGCCATGCAGATAAAAAAATAAGAGAAGGTTGCAATGCAAAAAAAAAAGAAATCAAGTGGAGCTTATTACATCTAGATGGTAAGTAAAATTATCTAACAGTTTGCTAAGAAAGTATTTCTTACAATTAGCAGGAGTTTAAGTAGTGATAATAGCCAATTTTCAGCACTGATAAGTATAATTAGAGTTTAAGCTTGATAAGTGGGTACTGACAAGAAAAAAACCTTACAACGCAAGTGGGAAAATTACCAAGAGACTACACGCAACTTCACTAATTACTCTGGGAAGAAAGGAGGAGGTAAATGAAGAGGACTGCATGTTGCAGATTGCTTCCTAAGCACGCATTTCTCCACTGCGTCTTTGCCCAGTAGCCTGCAACATTGTCTGGAAAAGGAAACAAAGGCCAGGTTCTTTCCTTTCATCTCGTCCTGTCATTTCCACCATGACCAAGTGAAAGCAGAATGCAGGATGTACATCTCGGAGGTCACTTGTGGGTATAAATGCCACTGCAATAGGGGATGCAATCAAAGCCCTATTAGCTTGGTCAAGGCTGAAGTCATGACTTGTGTTTCACTCTTCTGACTTTCTAAGAATTTTTCTTACACGGATGACTTAAAATCAGTGCTGTTTCCTCCATCAAGGTTCATAGCTGGTTTCATGTTCAGGTTCTCCATGCTGCACAAAGGGCAGAGCAGCAATGAGTGCTTTGAAAACAAACAAAAAAAAGTAGTTTTCACTGAAATTTTCTAAAAGTCAGTCAATGGAAAGAATTCGATTTATAAAATATTTTACAGAACAGAAAGTTCAAATTTACAGAGTCCTTTTTGGCATTTTTCTAGTTCTGTACATAACACATTTCAAACCAAGAAGCCAGGAAGTGGGAGAATGTTTTTCCCACTAGAGAAGGCTGCTTGCTAGTTTATCTTTCCAGAAAAATGCAGAAGGAAGATGTTTTTCAATCCAGATGCTTATTTTATGCAAATCAAGATGATGCTTTCAGTTTTTATCTCTTAAATAAAGAATAATGTCCAAGCGATTTCTGTTCAAAGTTTTCTCCCGGATACAATTTATAACTCAGGGAATCTTTCCTTGGTTAACGAGGAAGCAGTAAAAGCGCTCCCTCCTTCCCTAGGTGTACTATTTCATTTCTCCGAGACAAATCAGGAAGCATTTGTCATTTTGAAGTTATGTTCCTAAAAAAAGGGAACTGTTAAAAAAGGCTCCAGGGCAATTTTGTTGTCTATTATTGTGTAAAACATAACACTATAAAGCTTAAACAATAAAAGGTCAAACAGGGAGAAGACCGTGCTAAAGAACAGATCACTGTTAGAAAGTTTTGCAAAATGTGTAGGTTTTAAGTGGTGGCTTGTGAGTGGGAAAGCAGGAGGTGTCACAATGGCGAGGATGCTCAGCCGAAAATCATGAACGGGTGTAAAGTCAAAAGATGCAGGAAAAAAAGCTCCAAGGGGTCTGGTCCATCCATGTTGTTGCACTGTAGAGCTGGCATGGAGACCTGGGGCTGGAAGGACCCTGTAGGATCTTGGGGTCTGGCAGCTGCCGGTCCCACAAGCTTCCCTGCCTGCATTCAGCACCGTTTGTGCTCCATCTTCAAATGAGTTTGGCTTTACCTTGCTCTCTAAATAACGGAGCACGGCTTTTCTATCAGGGGAAAATGGTGGCATCGAGGGAGGGATTACTTATCATGGTGGGAGAATAAATACGTTTGCTGAAAGAAAAATGTTGGCACAAGAGCAAACGGGTAGAAACTGGAAAATAAATTTAGGTAAAAATTTAGAATCTAAGGAAAAGCCCGCTATAACCTCCCTGCTGGCATCAGAAATCTTCTACAGGAGGAGAGACAAACTGGAGTCAGAGATAGCACAGGCAGAGGTGGGGAAGAGAAGAAAAGAAAACAAAGGTTCTGAGAATGTTAGGTTAAATGCATGCAGAGAAAACGTGATCTGACACTTCCATATTTTCAGGGGAAAAAATTTATTCTTAAACATTGTGTAGGAATGAATAAAAGGCAGGAAATGCCCAAATAGCCTGAACATCCTGCATACCATGTGCACATGTCTTGGTCAGAATTAGAAATGCTTTCTGCATTAGCTCTTTGTGCTCAGACCTGCCAGCTGTAAAGCCTGAAAGTGCTTTTATTCTCCTGTTTTCATTACTGCATATAACTTTCTCAGTGCATGAGACATGGATACTCAGACAATATAGATCTTTATTCCTTACAGAAGAAGCAAATACAAGTGATTGATATCCTTATTTCTTTGGAAAAGAGTTTAAAATGGATTGGCAATGGCTGAAATTACTCTCCCTGCTGTCACACTGCCAAAGCTGGACATCCTATTGAACTACTGGCGATCTACCAGAAACATAAAAATATTAATAAGACCATCCACAAACTTTGTAATCTTTTCTAATTCACCTTTGGAATGAATTTACATTTGTTTTCTGAGAAATTGCCAAATCCTTCTCTCTTGTTGTTCTGGCAAATTAACAAAACATTTGAGCCCACCACATTGTTGTGGTCTAGCTTAAATCTAGTGCTGGGTTAAAAATGCTGCTTGAAAACTCCATATAAACAGACACAACCGAATCTCTATCATAGTTATTCTCCCCTGTCAAAAGTGGCAGTGGTACCAGTGATGACTAGCACATTTGATGCCCGGGCAATCTTTGCGATAACAGAAGTGACACATGATGTGATAAGCAACACAAATGTGTCTGACGACTATTCTGGGATGGAGCCTACTCAGCAATTTCAAAGTGCAACGCAGGGAGACAATCAGGCACTCTCAGGCTGAGTTTCCTCTTCGCCCATACCAGGTAATGATGGCAGTAAAATGACTTTTCAAATCACACAGAATATAGTTTGTGCAAGAAAATGAGAGAGGACAGGCAAAAGCTATATTCCACAATATTATAGTTTGCTAAACAGTTTTGGCAAAAGCGGAATTGTTTTACTTACCCTCTGCCACCTGGCTTCTCTTGGAAAATGGCAGAGAGCAAGTAGGAAATTGGGCAGAGATAAAAGATAGTACAGTGCTTTTCCATCATTTCTCCATGAATATGTATGATTGGAGGTCTTTCTTACCCTGGACGGGAGCCAAAGGCTCATAGACTACTCGATAACCCTGCAGGACTCCATTTGCTGCTGTCGGCTCGCCCCAAGACACATTGAGTGTAGTGCAAGTGATTTCAGAGAACGCCAAGAAGCTGGGAGCACTGGGTGCTGAAAGGATTACAAATACACTGAATTGCAGTCGGAGTAGTTAGTCTGATATACATATATATCACGAAACATTGGTTTATTTGCCCAGCCTAAATCTAAAGGAAACAAGCGGAGAATGGGATTTGTCAATTGTGTCCAAATGTCCTGTAATCAATCAGAAACCCAGCCTGTCCTAAGAAAAGCGGCCACTTGGCTGCAAAGCTGAACCTCAAAAGCAAGCAAGGAGATAGGACACAGAAGGAAAAGACCTGCAGAAGGGCACGGTGTGAGCATACAGCCCAACTGCACACCTCCTCTTCGTAGCCACCACCAAGGGCATTGCCTTCACCCTGTGCTGCAGTGCTCCCACCATGGTCACGTCCAGCACAGAGACAGCTCAGTCTGACTGGTGGTTTCAAAAAAAAAAAAAAACACCAACCCAAAAAGGAGTGATTATAAAAAGCACAAGAATTCTCTCATGGGATTGTTTGGGGAATTTGCGGGCACTGGAAACAAGTTCCTTCAAATTTTCAGGTGTGACAGCAGAGGCCAGAAACAGACCCACAGACAGCTTCCTTCTGGACCAGCTTGTGAAGGCACCAGTCCTTCTGCCAGTCCGTTCTCGTTTCAGCTCTATTGCTCCCTTTCCCACATAGTCCACTTATTTGATCCCTTTTGTTCCCCTCTCCAAGACCATTACAATGTAAGGACCCATCCAAAAGTTAAACCTAAACACCGGTGCCCTCCTGCACCCATTTCCCTTTAACCACTGCCCAGTGACATGCTGGTCATCACCAAGTCTGTGCTTTGAGACGAGACAACAACTCCGTACCCGCCTGGTGTGTCCTGCCCTGCGAGGGGCTGCTCCTGGGGCCGTCCCCGGCTGCATTGAAAGCAGAGATGCAGACCATGTACCGTGTGTGGCTGGTCAGGTTTTTGAGCCGGACAGTTGTCTCCGGGAGGAAAAGGACCTTCACTTTCTCCGTGTCATTTTGAACGTCACTCTCCCAGTAATAAATCTGTTGAGACAGTGAGATGTTTTAGTATATCCTACATGTAGAAAATATCTGGGCACTAAAGCTGTAAAAGATCAGGAAGATGGTGCAGTCTTGCTCTGGACTCCTCTGTTAAATGGGATACTAATGCTTTTCACCACATGCCCAATCTTTTCTCTTCCTTTCGCAAATTCCCCTGAGCCCAGTGACCATGTAGCTGAGTACATCACTCAAAAATACAGCACAGGCTGAAGAATATGGCCTAACAACCGCAGATATGAGCTGCCAGAGTTCAGTGATGAGAGGTCAGTTTTTAAATTCTCCCTGCAATGCTAGCTGCCTGTCAGCACTGGCATCCTGATATGATGCTCCATAATTCACCTCTGCACGCACACAATGGTTTCACCATTTGTGTTCACAGGACAGCTAAGCAAATGCCTTCTTGAAGGGGGTAATAAAGACTTTCCCTAAAGTTCCTTGAGGAACTTTTCACCATTCTTCCCTTACATAATTTTTATCCTGACACCATAAAACTAGGCCTTGGAGAAGTCGTTTCCAAGAGGAAAAGTGGTGCCAGCCCTACTTATTGGACAGGCCTGGCAGCGAGAGTATTACAACAGGCCAAAGCAAGCCAGAAAGTTGAGAGAACGAGCCAAGGCAAGACTCCACCTTGGCTCTACAAGCCAAGCTGTTAGAGCCATCTATATACGTACAAAAGGAAAAGAACATGAATTGATATATAAGGATGCTTGTTACTGCCAAGAAGGGATGCCAGATTATTCACATTGGCTTGGCTTTTCTTTGCTTATGGACCTAAATTCATGGAGAGAGGCAGAGCCAGACACTGAACCCAAGCCAAGCTCCAGTGTTTGTAGACTTGCCCATTTCCACTCTCTGAGGGTCCATTCTCATGCTGGAGAAGCTAAACATCGTGTCTCTGCAACGTGCTCATCTCGTGTGAGCCAAATGCAATTAATACTACGATTTAATTTTGTTAAAGTTAAGGAAATGAAATAATTCTTCCAAAATCTGACCTGACTCAGGCTTCTAGCTTGGAGAAAGTTCTGCTTTTCCTAATGGCTTGCAACATTTCACAGATAGAAAGCTCAGTTAATTCTCTTGAATACATTTCTTGCCCCTAGCTCTTGCGTGTACATTGCTTTTTGGAGCAGGTACATTGCCTGCACAAGTGGAGCTGCCTCATTATCTGCGTACCCTGTTTCCCCACGTTCTTCTTCTCCACAACTAACACCACACTTTTCCTTTTCCTCCCTCCTAGTCTCATTCTCTTTCTTTTGGTTTTCGAACTTAGTGCCATTTCTGTACTGCAGTCTGAATGCTGTTTTAATTTGCCTTATGCAGTGAGGGCAACTGTAGTTTGTAGAGCTATCTTACAAGTAATAGCGATGCCAAGCAAAATAAATGAAACTAATAGAAACAGGAGGATTGCCTTGTAGCCTTGGATGTTCCCATTTTGGCTGTCGGCAGGAGGGGGGTCCCAGGTGAGCTCCAGCTGGCTTGCAGAAAGGGAGTTTACTTGGATGTTCTGTGGGGCCAGTGCCGGTGCTAGAGAGAAAGGATGGAAGAATTAATAGCTACAACTAGAACTAGTTCATATCCAGGTTGCAATTTTCCATTTGTGGAAGGACCCAGGACAGATTCTGTTTATGCCACAAGTCAGCTACCAGAGTCAGCCCTGGAGGTATCTGTATCACAGGGAAGGCTCAGCACACATGGATTGAGGAGCAGCTTTGGAAAAGAAAGGAGAATTTTGTCTTCATTCTACGGTAACGTTTGGGGCTTGCCTTTGACAGTGACATTGCGCTCCTGACCGAAAGCGACTGGGAGGAAGGCAGCCCCCTGCCACCGTCAGCCTGGCCGCCCGCTCAGCACCAAGTCTTTACAACAGCCTGTTTGCAAGGTTCCAAGAATTAGGGCCAAAATACCGTTTAAAATTACCCCCAAAACCAGTCAGACGCTAATCAATTGAACTTTTTATGCACGACAAAAATATTTCACTTATGACAAAATGACTTTCAGTTCGCTACTTGTTAGCTCTGCTTTGGTTATACCTTCACATGTACCATTTACGGTTGGACTTGATGATCTTTGAGGTCTCTTCCAACCTTAATGATCCTATGATTCTATGCTGGCCCTCTTTGGCTCCTGATGGCATTTCTTCTTCGCATTGTGCTGTGCTAGAAAACTAATCTTTGAGTGCACCTGGGTCACACCATCCTTCCCTTTGTCGGGATCCAACTTGGTGCAGGTGGATTTTCTTCCCCAGTGGCTAGCAAGGACAGTCTGTTTTCCAGACCTGCTGTCTCTGCCTCCGGCAGGTCTTAACAAAACCGCACATGTTCTGTTTGCAGAAAAGGTGCCAAAGCGTGTCCTGTTCAAACGCCAGAAGTAGGAAGAGAAAGGCAGGGCAAAGGGAACGCTTCTCCTTTCTCCGTGTTCGTGGTGCCACAGCCTTCACCCAGACCACCTGAGAAAGATGCTTCTTTTCTCTCTGCCCCTTTATGGGCCATAAATAGAAGTGATAAAACATTCACTACTCGAGTTAGATAGCCCCGGTTATCTGTTCCTCTGGAGACTTCTTTCTTTAGAGAGAATGACCTTCATAAGTCACACTTTTCTACCAATACTCCCTCCCCCCAGAGTTATAAAATAAAATAGTAATTAACACCCACTCAGCCTGACACCAACTATTTATTTTGTTCTAACTGTGTGGTTTCCATATTATCACTGCCCACCCTGCCGTTAATGGAAATGTTAATAACCAGCGCCAGGTTGTTGTGACAGATGCTTGGGCTCATTATCAGAAATTCTTATTTACCGCTCCATTAAACGACAGAATCACACAAAAAAACAATTCAATCAAAACTAACTGGAGGAATTTTAACAGCCACATTAATAATACAAAACATAAATAAAGTTAATGTCTTTTGCATGTTTGCCATCGGCGACTCTATTGCAAAATTATTGCTGTACAATTAAAACGTGAAAGGCAAAATTAAAAATAGCCTTTATCCCAGTGCTTAGTTAAAACTATTTGCTTAGTATATCTTTTTGGTTTCCTTTTTGGCTGGATGTAGCAAATACACGAGGTGACAATGACCATCAGTGAAATAGGGATGCACTTCTGCAGTTGCTGCCCTGCCTTCTGCGCTCTGCAGAGGAGCGAAGGGAGCAGCTAGCCGGTGGGCTGGCTGCCGTCGGTGCAACGTAGCACTCTTCTGTTAAGGACCAAAAATCTCTAGGTTTTGTGACTTTTGCAGCACACATCAAAGTGCGAGGCCAAGCTAATCACACAGTACAAACCTGAAAATACGTCTCGGAGATTTGCAGATGATGACATGCTCAGGGAAACAGGAATGTGTACAATCACAGAAGAAAATGGATCACTTTAGTGATGTATTTAATTTCTAGGAAGTGACACTACAGTCTGTCCTGAACTGACAGCTTCAAAGTGCTCTCAATACCCAGGTCTGAAGCAGCGTCTACAACAGCGTTTTTCTTTGGATCCCATGTGCCAGCCTGCAACAATTGCTGCTTCCGAGATGTGACCATTAGAAGAGCCGGTGTGTGCAGCCTGCTGCCAGAAAAACACCAGTTTTCCTCAACCCCTTTTTGAAGCACGTCTAAGAAACACAATGGTTAAAAACTGCCAGCGATCATTCTCCACTGACATGCTTGCTGCTGGAGCTGCACTTTTGCTGGCATAGCGGCGGAAAATTTGATGGGAGGGAAAAAAAGAAAAAAGACTATCTGGAAAAAGACATTTCTCTTCGCTACCCCAGAGCCTCGGAGAGATGCAAATTGTTTGGGTTTGTGCCCTGTAAGTCTGTCCCTCTGTTCAACTTTCAAAGGCTGATGTGTCCCTCCTCTTCTAAGCACAGGTTTCTTGTTGACAGCAAGGCACAGCAGAAAAATGCTGCTGATGCTTGATGTGGCTCTGTGCAGACAGCACGTTACATTAAAGGTGAAATGAAATACTTTAAAAAGAAGGAAACACATCCCTAAAGACTCTACCTGTTTGAAACCCCAAACCTTTCACTGAGTGTATGGACAGTCTGTGCCAATAAAAGCAAGTGCATTTTAAAGGTGAATTCAAAAGCCTTTTACCTTCTAGGAATGCAGTTCAAGCTTACTGAGCTCAGAATTTTTTCATGGCTGTTGAAATCACAAATACATAAAAAGCAAGGTTAAAGCTGCATACCTCACACTGCTTTAGGTGTTAGTGACATTATCAACTATAGCAGGCATGACACAGACCCCTCAGGGTCCAAACTCAGCTCTTGGCAGGTGGAAAGCATTTCACTTTCCCTGAAAAAAAAAAGTATGTATTCATGAAGTCTAATTCTGTGCACGTATCCTGCCTTGGAATTTCAGGCAGATATTTGTAAACATTTCTTTTCTTATCTGATTTCAATTCACCTTTCAGATCTTCTCCTTGAAACTCTCTCTCTCAGCCAAAACATAAGGAGAAAGGCTGAGCAGCTTGTACAGTAATTAGTAATAAACCAATAACATCTATGGACTGGGATGATGTCGGGAGGATCACGTAAAGACAACAAATCTATCTGGAAATGCAGTGAGAGTGTCAAAATGAGCCCATGAATAAAGTTATACATCTAAATCCACATTTAAACATATCACTGCCCTCATTTTCCAGTCGTACTGAACAGCCTTTGCTCACACTGCAGTCAATTTGAGCTTGCAAATGCTTATAACCTTTAAAGAGAAGGTGCTTAAAATCCCCCCATGGCCTGCCCGCACCGGAGCTCTGTGCATTGCAGAAGGTTCACCTTAGTTTTTCTTGCCATTCGCTTGGCATATTTGCTTTCTGGGCTGTGTGGCACCGAGAGCTTTTCATCACTATGAAAGTACTATTCCTTTTCTTAGTGACAGTTGCCACGATGCTCTGTAGCACAGGTAGGCTACAAATCCTTGTGATGCATTCGGTAAACTTAATAATTGTTTTTATGAAGCATTCTTCGCTGCTTTTATATCTGCTCCAATTTCTGGGTAGCAAAGGATTTCTCCTCTACTGATTTTCTAATTGTTTCTATAATAGCAGTATTATGTCAGGAAATTCAGAGACAAGTCTGGGACAAGATTCCTTGACACTCATGCCATTTAAATAAACATGCAGGAAAAAAAATGAGGAGAAAAATGCAGTGAAAGAGACTGAAGATTTTCTGTGCATCAGCTTGATCCCACAGTTCCAAACAATCCCAAGCAAATTTCTGTTTTGTAAAGACCTCTGATCCTTTTCTATCTAGCAAGCATTTCTCCCCCCAGTTCATCAAAGTGTGCTTTTATGAACATGCCTGCTTTTATTCCCTAGTAATCAATATATTTGCATTTTGGTGTTAGCACCCAGAGGCCAGAATCTCACTGCACAACGTGTTGCATAAACACAGAACAAAGAGACAGCTCCAGGCCTAAAAAGCCTCTAATCTGTATGTCTACACGTTATAACGGAGGGGTGATTGCAGCATGTTCTGACATATCAGCTGTAATCTTACCTACCTAGCGAGTAACAACAGGCGAGAAGACACAGCAATATTCAGTGCAGCATCTGCTGACAATTAAAGCTTGCACATGCAGCACCTCCAAAGTTTACACACCGACTCCTGGCACATGTGGTCATGGAAAATAGACTGGAAAGGATTTGGAGAGGGCTCAAGACAAGCCATCCTCTCAAGTCACACTGGGATCAGCTTGGCTGGTCAGATGTTTGTGTAATCGTCTAATCTTGAACACTGACCTCTTTCCAGACCCCCCCTACCGTCCCCACACAAACTGCCAGCGCTTCCCTATTTTAATAACTCTCGAAATAACTCTCAGGGTTTTTTTTTTTGTTTCGTCTTGTTTGTTTTAAATGTCTAGCCTAACCCATCCTCACTGTATCGAAGTTCTGTCCCTGCAGTGGTACGGAGAACAGATTGTTTCTTCTCCCGTTGCAGCCACTGCCCTCAAGTTATAGTGTAGATAAGCAACAGTTAAGTGGATTATAAAAGCCAAACACAATAAAACAAACAGAAGGTCACGAGATAAAACAGCAAGACTGATCTGCAGAATCGGTAAAGCAAAACGCAAGAGGTTTTCTTGCAGTATGGGCTTGGAGAGGAACGCAAGGGTGGTACCTCCCAAGAAAGAAGAAATGAGGTGTATCTGCAGATGTTTGCAGTCACTCCTTCCATGAAGGAAAAGCAGCATGAGAGAAAAATGTTCAGTGTTTATTGGCCATTTTCTTACAGTGTCTGTAAGAAAAGAGAGGTGGGAGCCAGGAACGCTTCCCCTGTGCAGCAGTACCTCTGTGCCGACAGGAATGCTGCGTGAGCGATGCTGATTAGTTCAATAACAATTAGTTAATTGTGCTTTAAAAACAGCTACTGCGAAGCCGCTTTCCGCTGTGACAAAGCGGCACAAGCTATATTTAGAATGTAAAAGATGTTTCCCACCAATTCATGGCTGTTTTAAGCCAGGCTACATTTTGTGATGGAAGTATGCACTTTTTCCAAGGACTGCACTTTCTGGGGTTACCCAGATGTATT